TCCTAATGCACTTATAAAAACCCCGGTCGGAGGTGTCTTTCTTCCATGCCCTGCCCCCACCCAAACCACCGGGTTCCCCATTTAAACTTCTCCAGCAGAGGCTTATCTCAGACACCACCCGCGATACCCCTCCCCCCACCCATTCACCGCCTACCTCAAGCCCCTGCGGGCAGAGGGGCCAGACCTTAGCCTGGGGAGGGGTGAGGGGGCATCTCTTCCTGGGACCATCCTCTCTCCTCTCCAGGTTGCGATTAGCATTTTTATCTCTGCAACTGCCATCTCTCAATTATTTACAGAAGCCAACGGGATAAAAAGAGACAACACAAAAATAGTTGCTCAGCAGCCTTCAGGATGGGGTGGGGGTGGGGGTACAACAGGCTCTTGGGATTTTCTTTCTCTCCTTTTCAAAGGGGAAGATGCTAGAATTATTTATCTTTCCCAAAGCACTCCCGTAAGAGTTCACAGACCACTCATCTGGGAGCTCTCCGGGGCCAGGGACCATGTGCCAGTGTCCCTCAGCTCCCAGGGCAGGGCTTGTTACCAGCCCCCCAAAAAGTGTGGGCTCAGTTCAGTGACATATCATCAGGGTTCCAGAGCCAGTGCTAAGTGAAACACAGCGCCCTGCTCTGCCCTGTTTCCATCCAGCCTTCCAAAAAACATGAGACAGTCAAAAAAACAAAACAAAACTTGGCTTTTCTCTCTGCTTAAAATGTTTCATAATCGAAGAAAAAAGTTCAGCAGCACCACTACCAAAATGACAGAAACAGAAAACACAGGCAGCTGAAATCACTCCTTCCCCATTTTGGTCATGAACGTCCCCCGGTAGGGAATGCTAGGGCATTCCCCACGAGCGACAGCGCCCACCTCCTCTGAAATATACCCAGTTTTTCGCTGTGTTGAGGAAGGGATCCAATCAGAGAAGAAAGGAAAAAATAATCACTTAAAATCTTATTTTTCAGAGAGTAAAAAACCATACCCTCCTGAAGAGGGATTCTATTCTGTGAGAAAATGGGCATCATCTGCCATCATATGGAGGTCAAGGTAAACTCGAGAGCTCAGGATTAGAAGGTATGCCAGGAAACTAGACAAATCCCAGGGGCCTGGACCTTGATTTTCTCATCTGTAAAATGGAGCTGCTGCAGCCCGGCCAGGGGGTGACTCTGGAGTCCATCTTCTATATGAACGTTGGCTCACAGACAGTGTTCCCAAAGACCCTATTCTCCCCTCCTCTCTGTGTTCCACCTACTCAACTGTTAAAGGGAAGGGGCTAAGGGACTGCTCTTTTCTGGGCTTCCTCCCAGCTCCGGGTTCACTAGGCTTCTGATTTCCTCCATGGCAGGCATTTCTGGACAAGCTGTCAGGAGACTGTGCTGACTCCACACCTGGCCACAGGGTTAGGGCTCCATCTGTCTGGGGAGGCTTTCTCTACTTTGTGGATTTACTTACCTGGAAAAAGTCTCACAAAAATACATGCCAAAAGATGACATGTGGACCTACGTCTAACAAATCACCGTGATTGAAGAAATGGAACCGAATGAAATTCACACTCTCCCTGAAAAATCACACCGTACCCCCGTGCATTGAGCTTGGAGGCACCAGGCTTGCGAAGGAAGCAGGATTCTTGCGGCGGAGCTGGAGGGGGCCCGAGATGGAGGGAGTCCTGAAAACCCTGTTCCTCGTAACTGTTCCCCAACTGAATTCCAAGACCCTTCCTTCCACCACCTTCTGTCTGCCAACAGAGTGACAAAGTAACATCCCAGGCCCAGAGGTTCATTAACTGGGCTCTGAGGAAGCAGAGGTATGCATGAAGTGGCCTTAAAAAACCCTCACAGTGGAAAGCACCCAGAGTCCACCAACTGATGAATGGATAAACAAGATGGGGTCTATCCATACAAGGGAATACTACTCAGCCACAGAAGAGAAGCACCCACATACTTTACAGCATGGGTGAAACTCGGAAACATTTCGCTCCAAGAAAGACAAGCCAGACACGAAAGGTCACATATTAACGGGTCCATAAGGGAACCAGCACAGCTGAAAGAAGAAAAGGCCATTCCAGGAGAGGAATGCAATTTCCTTCACTTCCAAGAAAGAAATGAGGGAGAAGGCCAAGGCGACACCCTGGAGGCAGGCGTGCCTTAACCCCACCGTCCCACCCCCCAGGGTCCTGTAGCTCAAAGGGGAGGAGCTGACTGGGAGAGCAAAACATCCAGGGAAAAATAGCAACGCAAGGCCCTCGGACCCAAAGGACAATCTGAAACAGCATTTGCCCCAAATCTCCAGGATCAGGAAAGGTAGCAAAAACTCAAGGCTTCCCAGCTACCAGAAGGTGGGATGAAGAAAGGAAGGTTGCAATTGACCTTAACCAAGTTCAAGTACCCTGCCTGTCTGAGCCCTTCCGTTAAATGAGTTCATGATGGGATGAGGACGACTCTGCAACCCACATTGAAATCTGAGCCAAACGCCTTGAAAATAGGCTTGGCCTGCCCCACCCAGCAGCCCATCTTGGATGCAGGTTGAGGTTCTCAAGGAGGAAAGTCCTGGGTGACTGCAGAAAGTTCCCGCTCTAGGTCAGACCCTTCCCCTCCCACTCCCATGCAATCTCTTTCTCTTTCTCTCTTTTTTTTTTTTCTTGAAGATTTTATTTATTTATTTGACAGAGATCACCAAGTAGGCAGAGAGGCAGGCAGAGAGAGAGAGGAGGAAGCAGGCTCCCTGCTGAGCAGGAGAGCCCGATGTGGGGGATGTGGGGCTCGTTCCCAGGACCCTGAGATCTTGACCTGAGCCGAAGGTAGAGGCTTTAACCCACTGAGCCACCCAGGTGGCCCCCTCTCTCTCTCTCTTTTTTTTTTTTTTAGCCCATCCCTTAAGACTGAGCACAAACACCACCTCCTTCTGGGAGCCTCCTGGATTCATACCAGCAAGAAGAGATTTCTCCAGAAACTCCATCGCCCTCTGCTTCCTTCATTCCCAACACACTTACTCCTCCTGGTGTATTTCAACACGGACACTCCTGGCATTCAGGGCAGTGCAATTCTTCATGCCTGGCATGGATCTGGCCTGCTTGCCGGACATTTGGCATCCTTGGCTCCGGCCTACCAAAGCCAGAAGTGCTCAGCATCACTTTGACAACCAAAAGTCACCAGGCGCTTTTCCAAATGCTTGCCAGGAAGGTGCGACTGCCCCTGGTAAGAGCTATTGCAGAGTTATTGGTGAATATATTTGGCCACTAGCCCACTAACAACCTGGGAGCAAAGACAAGTCAATTCGCATCAGTACCACGCCCACTTAGCTCTGTGTCCTCCTAGGCTGGCTTAGTAAACAATTCTGGGTCCCTCAAAAAGCTGAGGACAGCCTTGTAAGGGACCCTGCTGTAAGAGAGGTGGTAAAGTGCATAGGCTCAAGGGCCTGACAGGCCTGGGTTGGCTGTGTGACCCTGGGCAAGCTGCTTAACCTCTCTAATCCCTCTACAGAATGCGGCAACACTGCAGGATTGTTTCCACCCTTGACCTCCTCATCTCTACAATGGGAGTAAACAATTCTGCCTCTAGGATTTTCGTAGGCATTAAATGAGATAATAAATGCAACACATAGCACAGTGTTTGGAGGCTCATCAAATGATGGCTATTACTTTTTATGACAAAAATACACTGTGCTCTCACTAGGAATAGCTGCTTTCTACATAGGAAGGGCTTAAATTGAGCAATCTGGAAGGAGGTGCCAGGGCTCACCACAAAGCTGCATCTGCATAGCACGAACACTGTTTATTCTTAAATTGCATGTTTTTGTGGGGTTGTTTGGGAGGCGGGGAGGGGGGGGCTCACTCCCCCAAAACCCTCCCCTTGTTGCTGCCCCTACCTCCCGGAAAACATGGCAGCCTATGGGGACACAGAGCTATCCTCTTCTCTCTCCCCTGGGGGCAGGGCTAGGAGAGGGGGTGTGGTAAATGACGGTACCACTCTAGGGGACATGAAGTTTCTATCTCTAGGACTGTAGGGACTTCCAGATTAAAGTTACCTTTAAGGAAGTGGACACTACATGTCCCACCTCAAGCCAGTGAGCCACTCTCTTACTGAGGGCACTGAGTTCCCAGCCCCCTCTCCAAACGGTATCCCTCCACCCCAAACTTCTGATGGAGACAGGAGAGGCTAAGGTGCAACCTCGCTAAGGACAAGTGAGAGCAGCAGAGCGGCTGGCAGAGCTGTGAAAACACCCCGCTTCCCAAACTGGGCAGCGCAGAGGTGGGGGGAGCCAGGAGGAGCTCGAAGCTGGACAGGGTGGCATTCCAGGCATCAAGACCCAATGCTTACGGGGCTGGGCCCAGACTCCCCGCGTCCCCAACATTCAAGCAGAGGGTGACGGAGAAGGCACCTCTCCGCACTGAGTGCTGCGGACCGGAGGTAAATTTAGGTCAAAAGGACCAGTCAGCGAGGCTCCGGAGGGCGGAGGCAGAGGGCCAACTAAGAGAGGCAAAGGTCCCCAGGCCCCGCAACTGCTGATCCAGGGTCCTGCCCCTTGCTGTCGGTCCCACCCACCAGGGCCTGGGTTTGCCCCCAAGACAAGCGGGGTGCGGGGGTGGGGTGCTCAGAGGCCGGCGGCCCTCTCCTTCCCTGCACTCTGTAGCTTTCCCCACCTGTCAAACGCGAGAGGGTGGGCCTAGGCCGCCTCCAAGATCCTTGACTGCCCCGGCCCCGGTGACATCGGTTCCAAACTCCGGGACCGCCCCTGCCACCCCCAGCCGGGCGCGGCCCGGCCAAGGAGGCCACTCCAAGGCCCCAGGCGCTCCGAGAACGCGGGGGAAGGGGCGCCCGGGGGCCGAGTCCCCCCACGTGGCGGGGCGTGGGGCGCCGCACGTGGGGTCCTCTCCGCGAAGGGAACCTGGGGCCGGCCTCAGGGCTTTGTCTGCAACCCCAGCAGCTGTCCCCCGCCCCGACAGGGCGAGGGCGCCCGGGGCTGCGGCGCTGTGTCCCCGGCCCGCGGCCCCGCTCCGGTCAGCTCACCTGGGCTCCGCGCCTCCGCCGCCGCCGCCGCCGCCTCCCGCGCTCTGCGCCCCCGGCTCGGCTCTGCCCGGCTCAGAGCGGCCGCGCGCTCCTCTCCGCGGCCCCGGCCGGCGCGCAGGGGGTGGGGCGGGGGCGGGAGGAGCCGCCGGGTCCCGGCTGGGGCGCGACGACGCCGCGGGCTGCGCGGGGATTGGCCGCGGCCTCTGGAAACCCGGGCGCGGTGCCGCCCTCGGCGCGCCCCCGCCGGCTCGGCCCCGCGCCGGGGAGGGAGGGGAAGCGGGAGCCGGTGGAGACGAAAGTAGCGGCGAGGCGGCGGGGTGGAGAAAGGAAAAGAAAAGGGAGGAGGCGAAGGCTAGGGGAAGTGAGGTGGGGCCGGGAGCGGCCGCGCCGAGCGGGGAGGAGGGAGAGACCCGGCGCGCGCCAGAGCACGGGCTGCCGCGGGGCAACTTTGCCTCCGCCCGCGGCGCGCACCTGCCCCGGTTCTCCGCGCGGCGGCTGCTGCACCCTTGGGCAGGCCGGACGCGCCGGCAGCGCTCGCTTTGTTTGGCCAAACGCGGGGACTGCAGGGCGGCGGCTGAGTCGCGGAAAGTTCCCCAAGCCTGCGGGACAGCCGGGGTCCTGCCTAGCGGCCGGGCTTCCGTCCCAGGGCTGCTGCCTCTGCACCGGGCGCCGGGCTGGGGATGCGGCCTAGATTTCGGGTCTCCACCCATTCGGGGAAACCCCTTTCCTCACCCGCCTCCCCACTGACCACTACTCAGGGCCCGCCCTAAAGGCTGGGGAACGGTGTTCCTTTGCCACCCCCCACTCCACCCGGATGTACCAAACTACATGAACCCCAGTAAAGTTCTGGCTTGTCCCCAGGACTACTTAGATGCTCTCTGTGGAATACATCTTTTTCACAAGCATTCTACCCCTTTGGGGCGCCCTCCTTTGCTGGCGCCTTAAGAATGTGTTTAGTCCCCCAGCTGGGTAACGGCATTGCAGGGGGAGGGAGAGAGGAGACCTCAAAGGCTGCCTGACCCGCCGACCTTAGATGGTTTCGAAAACCAGTCCTGACCCAAAAGATACCCAGTCGGTGTATCGCTGACCCTGCCAAGGAGCCAAAAGGGATTCGAGTCCAGAGGGGAGTCAGGGACCAAAGCAGTTAAAGGTTCAAAGCCCTCTTGTACCGGGTGGATTTCCAGTCCTCTTCAGTTTATTTAGTATTTCCATGCTGCACGGCTGCTCACCAACAATTCGGAGCTTTCAACCAGATGACCACCATTTCTGATGTTCTGATTTTTTTTTTTTTTTTGTAATAGTAAAAGCCCGAAAAAGCCGGAAAACAACCTTCCTAAATGTTCATGGGGAGGATGGATAAACAAAAGGTATAATGGCCATTTCATGGAATACTATGCAATAGGTCGAAGGAGTACGTACATTTGCTCTATTTGTACACACAGGTGGGAAGATCCCCAAACCAGAATACTGAGTAAAGGAGCAAGTTGAAGTATACAATATGATGTATAATTAGTATTTTAAAACCCCCACATAGGGGTTCCCCGGGTGGCTCAGTGGGTTGAAGGTCCTGGGATGGAGCCCCACATCCAGCTGTCTGCTCAGCAGGGAGCCTGCTTCCCCCTCTCGCTCTGCCTGCCTCTCTGCCTACTTGTGATCTCTCTCTGTCAAATAAATAAATAAAATACTTTAATAAATAAATAAATAGGCTATCTCATTCATGGACACATGCTTAGCCTTTTTTAAAAAGGTCAGTGGGGATTGAGTATAAATTAAATTCATGACAGTCTGCCACAAAGACAGAAGTAGAGCCAGAGAACAAGGACAGGGAGCATAAGGAATGTTGGACAGTTTCGTGCCTTTTACTTATAAATGAATTCAGCAAATGCTGAAATGTAAAGTCAGCTCTGAATGGTAGATGCATAGTTCTGTTTTTCCATATTTTGCTATTTTCTCCCCCCAAAATATGTATTGGGACTGATGGGGGAACATTTTGAACATTTCTGACTCTATGTCAGGGGTCAGCAAACTTTTTCTGCAAACGTCCAGGTAGTAATTATTTTAGACTTTCAAGCCATGTGGTTGCAACTTCTCAGCTCTGCCTTCCTAGCAGGCACAGACAAATGAATGGGTATGGCTGTGTTCCAATAAAAGTCTTATTTGCAGACACTGAAAGTTAAATTTCATATAATTTTCACATGTCACAAAATAGTATTGTTTTGATTTCTCTTCAACTATTTAAAAATGCATAAACCATTCTTAGTTAGCAGGACATATAAAAAACAGGTGGCATGCCAGATTCAACCCATGTGAGCAACAATTTGGCAACCCCTGCTTTACTAAAGAAACCAAAATAGATATTGGTTGATGTCTCTTCCTGTTACTTGTTAAAATATACTATTCTGTATATTACTAAACTGTCTATGTTTTATTATTTTTTAAGGTTTTATTTATTTGAGAAAGAGAGTGAGAAAGCATGAGAGGGGAGAGGGTCAGAGGGTAAAGCGGACTCTCTGCTGAGCAGGAGCCCAATGTGGCGCTCGATGTGGGACTTGATCCTGGGACTCCAGGATCATGACCTGAGCAGAAGGCAGATGCTTAAATGACTGGGCCACCTATGCGCGCCAGTCTATGTTTTATTAAAATGCTATCATTAGCAGGCAGAAACTTAGGTAAACACACACACTACTGTGTAAAGGTAGAGGCCAATTATGTGAGAAAGGCAAGAAAGTGCCCATTCAAATCTAAACTCTGGCCTAAGATACACTTCCTTCTGGAAGAATTTCCTGAAATGTTATGATCCAGGCCCTCCTTGGCCTCTGCCCTCTCTGACCTCCTATAGCAAGGAGTGCTGCCACGGATTTCAGTCTCAGCCACCAGGCTGTCTCTTTTCTTTCCTTTTCACTAATGGGTTCTGATTTGTCAGTAGAGCTATTAATTCCTGGAGTATAGATAGCACTGCATCTGAAACATCTGTTTACCTTCAGCATTGGGGTTGAAAGCACTGACTTTGGAGTCAAGAAAGACCTAGTGCAAATCCCAGCTTTGCTAGTGAAGAGGTCTGTGGCCTTGGCCTTGGACAGGGACTCTGGTTTCATCAGCTGTCAACGATAACCAGCTTCGTTCACAGGTTCAGTGAGGTTTAAATACAACAATGTGTGTAAAGGGGGCGTCTGGGTGACTTAGTAGGTTAAAGACTCTACCTTTGGCTCAGGTCATGATCTCAGGGTCCTGGGATCGAACCCCACATAGGGCTCTCTGCTCAGCGGGGAGCCTGCTTCCTTTTCTCTCTCTGCCTGCTTGTGATCTCTGTCAAATAAATAAAATCTTTAAAAAAAAAAAAAAGTAAAAATTTTAGGGGCGCCTGGGTGGCTCAGTGGGTTAAGCCTCTGCCTTCAGCTCGGATCATGATCTCGGAGTCCTGGGATTGAGCCCTATATCAGGCTCTCTGCTCAGCCGGGAGCCTGCTTCCTCCTCTCTCTCTCTCTCTCTCTCTGCCTCTCTCTCTGCCTACTTGTGATCTCTGTCAAATAAATAAATAAAATCTTTAAAAAAATAAAATAAATAAAAATAAAAATTTTTAAAAACTCTCCCTTAAAAAAAAAATAACGTATGTAAAGTTAATAGCTCAGTATGTGACACATAAGTGCTCAGAAGTACTATTAAGATACTTAGTACAGCTGGGGCGTCTGGGCGGCTCAGTTGTTAAGCATCTGCCTTCGGCTCAGGTCATGATCCCAGGACCCTGGAACCCAGGACCCTGGGATCCAGCCCGCATCGGGCCCCGTGATCAGCAGGAAGCCTGCTTCTCCCTCTCCCACTTCCCCTGCTTGTATTCCTTCTCTCTAGCTGTGTCTCTGTCAAATAAATTTTAAAAATCTTTAAAAATATAGATGTATACATACTTGGTACAAAGCTAAAAATCCCATTGATTATGTGCCTTTCTTATTAAAGTGAATTAACCAAAGCAGAGGACATCATAATTGCCTTTCTTTGACATTTGGCCTTCCTTATGATAGGAATCATCCCACTGAAGAAAACCATTTTCTTCTTAGAGATATGAAAATAAAAATTGGCTTTGCTTTTTGGGTTTTCTCCTCTAAGAACACTAGAAAAACCTGGTCTAGGCAAACCGATCTTGTTGTCTTGACAACCCAGATTGCTAAGAAAATAAGTAAACAAAGCATCTGAATCTTATTTTTAAGAAAACTTGGGACAGTACAAGGGAGGGGCTGAAAACTAAGACCAAAGAATTATCTTACCCCCTAGGACAGCACCATAAGCTCCTGCCAAGGCTTTGTGTTTTCCTCTGGGAACTGTTCTGTGTTCTACTCATGGTGTTCACTGGAATATTCTGCCTCCCAAACCTCAAACATCCAGGTAGAGATAGCAGGATTAATCACACTGATATACTGTATTAACTGAATTCCTCCCCATTCAACAGGAAAGTAGAGAAACACTGGTCCAAAAAAAAAAAAAAAAAAAGGAGAGAGCGAGCCTGAGAAGTTTCCCTTCAATGGGCATTGAGATTAAAATGTTTGTTAGTCCTAAACATAAACAACAGCATAAAAGGAGAAGTCAGTGGGGACATAGATGAAGCAGCTCTTCATTTGTCTTAGATGTATTATGAGAAAGAAAAAATCAGTGTAAGCATCCAAAAATATTGGGGCGAAATACAAAACACTCTCAGCAAGTAGGAGTGTTCAAGGCATGTAGGTCAACAGGAAGATGCTCCAGTGACAAGACTGAGAAGCCTGTCACCCTGGGATGGAATCCCCACAGATCCTTCCTAGTGAGGGGGCTGGGTCAGGCCAGATCTCCCAGGCTATTCCCTCAACTGTAAAATAGTATTTGGCTTACAAGCATTAGAGATGGTAGGGGTGGAAGTATCTAGCACAGTGGCCTATACTGGGCACTAGATAAATGTGCCTGGTATTACCAGTTATCAAATCTAAACTCTGAAAAGAATGTTCACAAAATATTACGGTACTTCTCAAAACTCCGGAAACAGGGAGCTCTGGGGGGAATGTAGGAACTGGACTGGAATCCCATCTCTGCAACCTACCAGCTGTGTGACCTTGGG